TAGATAGATATCTAAATTCTCCAGTAGATAGTGATGCCAATCCTTTAATTTGGTGAAAAGTTCATGAAAAAGATTATCCTATATTATCTCAAATAGCTAAGGATTATTTATCGATTCAAGCGATGTTAGTTTTATCAGAAAGAGCCTTTTTAATTTCAGGCTTAGCTGTCTCAAAAGTTAGAAACAGGTTAAATCCTGAAACAGCAAGAGCAATTATTTATATGAAGCATTGGATTTCAGAAAAAAGAATTGTAGAAAATATATAAATTTATATTAAAATTATGGGGATGGATAATAAGGCAAAATTATTTTGGTCAAAAGCTTAATGAAAATAACGTTTCAGTAATAATAGATTGCAAAAAAAAATTTTTTTTGTATAATTTGACTTTTTTTTCAATTTATTTGTATTATAATAAAATTTTTATATTGGGAATTTTGAGTATTACACAATTTTTTATAGTTTCGTCAAAGATTTTTACAATAACCTATATACATAAATTCTGGTCTAAATTTCAGTCTAAACTTCAGTTTTAAATCAGTCTACAAACTGATCCAATTCGATTTTATCCTCAAACTGATAAAAATCAGACTGAAACTGAACTGGTCGAACCGTTAACATTCCTAATAGTAAAAGTGTATAGTCATATTTATCAAATTATTATCTTCATTTATAATACATATAGGAGCATTGTTAACTAACAAAAGGATCTTGCAATTTTATGATCACATTTGCACATTTAATTTTTTAAGATATTCATTTCATATAGAAACCTGCATCCATGTAGTTGAATTCCAGTAATAATCAACTGATAATTCTTCTTTTTTCTTATCTTTTAATGTCGTAGATTTTGGTAAGTATAAATAAAAGTGACTTTAATTTTTTTAATTCAGTTGCATTACATGTAAAAAAAATAATAACTCTTTTTTTAGATTTTTTTTTTCCAGAAAGTGGCCTTCTTACTAATATCTTTGATGGTTTAAGATCCTAATACAAATCTAAAATAAATGAAAATTTAATATGTATAAGTTTAAATTTTTTATAAAATAAAAAAATTTACTTGTTTCATCATAATTAAAAACATCATTTAAATCTTACTCTTTAATAATTTCATGCAATTTTTGTCTTTTTTCATCTAAAGTTTCTAGCGAAGCACTTGCTACCTCTCCTAATTTAGTATATCCCTTATATTATTATATTTTTTAAAATTAGAAATCTATCTATTAGAAGCTAAAAAATTATTAGTTTCAAATGCTTGATGAAAAATTCTGCCTTTTCACGTAAAATATCAGTATTAATGGTAAGTTCTACTGCAAGTGCATTTGTAACCTATAATACTATAGCTTCTTCTACTTGTGGAAATTATACAGGTCTGTTCCTTTGTTTTTTGCCTTCTTCTGAGTTCATATCTATATGTAACCATTTACCTTTATTTCTTAAAATATCTAAAACGGTATTTTATTTAATACCATATTGAATAGCAAGTTGTTCTTGGGTTGGCTGTGGTTTTTTTTGAAAATCAAAACAAAGTTGATGTTTTTGTGCTTTTGTTAAAGTAACTCGTTTTCTCAGCTGAAATAGTTGTTGAGTCATTTTTCTTTTGTCTGACATTATTGAAAAAGAACAAAGAAAAAAATGAGCATTATGCATTTGATCTAACCTTAAATAGTTAGCATATTGATATATCGATTTATAAATTAGATTTCTAATATATTACTATATATAGACTAAAAGATAATATCGGTATATATTATATCGTGAAATAATATAAGATATTGATATAACAAGATTTTTTATTAATAATAAAATGGGAAGGAAAAAAATTATTAGTATAAGCAAATATCATTATATATTATATCAGTATATCGAGGTTTGACTATAGTTCTATACTTTATTCTAAACTAATAAAATGAAAGTCTATATAAGTATTAAATTAAAAAAATAATAAATACATACCTTATAATTGCATATAGAGGTTGGAACTGGTTTTATTTTCACAAACCGATTTTAATCACTTTTTTAATTTAAGACCCAGATTTAAACTGAATTTAAATAAAACCAGTTAAACCGAGCATTCGGTTGTAATAAACCCGAAAACCCAAATTATGATAAACTTTAAAATGCAAAATAATATTAACAAAAAAAAATTTATTTTTATTTAATTTTATTAAAAGAAAA